AAAGCGGAACAAGATTTTTCAGGATGCCTCAGCCTAGCTAGTTAACATGTCATTTTCAATGGCCGTTGTTAACATGAGAGTTTATGAGGCTTATAGCGTCAGTGTGCTGGAACGTACAGAGGGCAATAAAGGCTTCTAGTTTGGCCGGGGCCGCTCTCGATCCACTGTTCTCAGGTCAGTGTGTGCCAGCACTGCTCCCAGGCTCGCTGGGCCTCCGGCTGGCTTAGCCGTCAGCAGCATTTCATGGAGACAGTGTCCAAGGAAAACACAGCACAAGGCTTATGGTTGCTAGTAAATGTCTTTTGGAAAGACGTCTCATATTCTGGGCTGTCTGTGCGACTTGATCCTATTGTAAACAACGCCTTTCCCACATGCATTACGGGAGCTTGGATTAGGATCGGGGAAAATTATAGCACAATGGAGCAACCTCTGCAAGGCGAAACCATTCGAGATGATCCCCGAAGACTTCCGAGGGCCATCGGCATGAAATAAAACATCTCTAATGCATGGTTGGTGATTTTACTACACCAAGCATATTCAGATCATTGAAGTCTGTTGGAGGGCTACAGGAAAGCATGGAGGAAAGGGATTTTGGGATTCAAGAGGGCCAAATTATTAGCTCAGGGATGGATAGATAGAGTTCATTAAGGATAAATAACCAATATACTGTCCTCATCCATGTCACATGCAACCTCTGGTGAGAAACGTTGGGTTTGTCATGTCAGTTTTAATAGATACTAAGATGAAAGATTTTTATGGCACTCTATTTCTTATAAAATTGCATTGGTTAACTCGTTTCCACTTGTAGCAATGTGTTGAGAAAGCTACTATCACTGCCATTCACGTGTTCCACTGTTCTGTTCAAGTATAGGCTGCAACTATTTCCTCGCTCGCAATGCATGGTTCTGGAAACAAAAGCTCTCGTTTTTTTTTTCTTTCTCCTCTCTGGTGCATCGGATATAATGTATGATTCATTCCCATGCCTCTCACTATAAGACATAGTGCCAAAAAAACGGAATACCAGTCACCAAATTGGAAGTGGAGATGCCACAGGCAACTGCTTCTGAGAGGTTATGGATCTTCTCAGGGAGCACAAAGCACATATCTGCTCCAGGACTCGTCCGAAATGGCAGGGATCTGGTCTCAAAGCAACTGTAGGCCCTCCCTGACATTATTAACATGTGTCCTTCAGATTTGACGTTTGCCGTATTGATGGAGGAAGTGTGCTCCACTTTAGCATTGGCTCGGCGGTTCCTCCCAATCCTGAATCTGTCTTTCTAGCACAGGGCTTGCTTTGTATTGCGGGGCGGATCGGTGCTTTTGATGTTGTCACTTCTGAGAGAGGCTGGGAGAACCGATCGTCCGGCCGTGCATTGTTTTTGATGAAAACAAGATCTTTCAGGGTGTGATTTGTACAGGTTGCACAAGGGTTTACTGGTTTTTCAACCACGTTTGTTCTTAAAAGAGGCCGAGAAATGGCATGCCCAAAGTATGATATTTATTGGCAAATATGTAAATAAAATATCTATTAAAAATCCATCTGCTTGCGTTCAACAGACGTATCAACTGACGTGATGCTTCTTATTCACTCAGAAATAGACATTCTACTGTAACAAAACAGACCAAATCGCATGTATATAGAGCGTACTGCAATGCAACATAACTATATTATAAAAGAAAAGCTGTGGTATTGATGTTTTAAAAAGCAATGAAAGGTTTCTACTTCTGCTGTTTAGGTTGTATGTTGTGAAGTGTGTACATAGTAACACTGCTTCCCCAGCATATGTCCTTGGCTTAACTTTTATGAGTTTATGTGTGGTCCACCTAAAGTGTAACACAGAGTATGGTGTATTTAAAAAAAAATCTGTTTAGTAATATTCTGTGCAAAAAAAAAAGAAAAAAGATTGTAATGTTTTCTATAAAAAATCATTCATATAAATATTTGTTTTTACTTTTTTAATAAAGTTGCACCTTATGACTGGTTGTACGTTGATTATTCTGCTGCAATATAGCATGAATGTTTATGATTATTGAAGAATTAGATTTTTAAAAGGCTTTTGTTAAAGCCCCTTTCAGCCATGGAATAAAAAATTTAATAAAAACGTACCCTTTTTATTTATATATTTTCTGTGGTCAGAATGACTTTTTTTCAGAATTGTTAAAAACAAAAGTCTCAATTGTGAGATTTCAACTGAGAATTGTGTGGAAAAGGTCAGAACTATGAGATTTAGTCGCAATTACCTGTTTTATTTTTTATTATATGGTGGAAACAGGCTTCAATTGTAATCAGTTTATAAGGTAGGAGAATACATTATTAAGTCTTTGAAGATTGTTGTTAAAGGGGTCATATGATGCTTTTTTAAAGATCATTATTTTGTGTATTTGGTGTAACAGAATATGTTGGCATGCTTTAATGTTCAAAAAACACATTATTTTTCAAATACTGTACATTATTGTAGGTCCTCTATGCCCCACCTCTCTCAAACGCTTCGTTTTCAACAAAGCCCCCTCCTTTGAAAAAGCCAGTCTGCTCTGATTGGCCAGCTGACCCAG